CTGCGAGGGCGTTTCTGGTGAACGAGATGTTCGCCATGTTTCCGAGGGCTGTCAGGGGACGGAGGTGGTACTTGGAGAGATTTGGAGAGGACAAGGTTGGGAGGAGGTGGGCTGTTATCCCGGGGGTTTGGTGAAGCTAAAGAGGGAATGGTATGATGGACGGATGGACGGGTTTAGTTATGCTTATGCTAGATAGACGATGTTAGTTGATGTTAAGCTGTGGTCATGGTTGTGGCTATGGGTATAACGAGGAAATGGTTATGATAGAGCACAGAGCATGTAAGTGTGTTTGTTGACTGTATGAATAGATGCCGCCATTGCAATAGACAAGAACCGAGTATAATAGCCGAGATATACTACATATGTATGCTAATCAAGTGGGATAACAAGTATGTGGGATAGAGTTTTATATTGCCACTCAGTGATTGAATGCATCGTAATTACTGTTGAATTATGGATACACTCACGCTTACACTGTGAATATGATGAGTCTCTCTCTGTCACTGTCTCTGTCTCTTGGTGTCTCCAATTTCTAGTTGCCGACTCCAATTGCCGACCATTTCTTGGTCCGTGCCAAGAATGATCCTCATCCCTCCACCTCCGCATCGAGACCTCGCATCGACCATTCAAACCAAGGAAAATCTACCCCAGAAATCCGGGGAAAAAGATCTCACTCTTACGATTGCTAGGTAATGAGCGTTGGTTTTGTGGAATTGAAGAGAGAATCTGGGGAAGCAGCGGGATAATCGTAAGATGAGATTCGAAAAACCTGGGGAAGCCTGCATAAGTTATCAAACAACATGTATAGCTACATTTACAAAAAAGTATGCATACGGCAAAGTTGGAGAATATGTGGATGCCGTATGTATTGTCCTCTCCACGTGGTGGTAATGAGAATACGTACCTGGTTGTTCTCACTCTCTCGGTCATGATCTTCACCTCATCCATCTCCAACACAACACAACAAAACACACTCCCTAGCAGTAAAATCCGTGAAATTTCCCCGCACCCGAAACTACTTCCCGAAATCTAGACTTATTCACTAGCTCTGTCTAGTTTATCTCAAGTAAACCTTTAAGCTTAGTATGACTCTGAACTTCGGCGAATCTTGTCCGAGAACTGTCCGTTTGCTTGACACAACGCCTTGACATTGACATTGACGCTCCAACATTTTAGCCGAGTCAACCTATCATCGTAGCTGCATATCAATAGACCAGGGGTTGTTTCCGCGGCGGATGAAAGCATAGCCAGAAATAAGATATCACATTTTGCGGGGGGTAACCCACCCCTTGTCCCCAAGCTAAACCGCTCCTAGGGCATAATGGCAAAAATCCTCAGACACACTGACACACACTCCAAAGAAAATTGATTGCATGCAACACCGTCTCGGTACTATTAGCTTCGTGAGGGGAAATCCAATCTAGACACCTTGAACTGGGGGGGTTGCTTGTCCCGACACGGTAGCCCGAGGTGTTATCCATCCTTGGCTTTTACTATATCAAGACCCTGCTCCTATCCTTTTTTTTATGTTTTGGTCTTCTGCATCTCAAGCATCAGTACGCAGAAGCTTGAAGACCTATCAACTTCTCTTCTTTTCTTTTCTTCAAGTGTGGTCTTTTCTGTAAGATCTGCCCGTCATGGCTATATCTGATAGGGATCAGGAGAAGGGGTTTGATGAGCGCTCTGAGATGAAGGGAGGTGTCATTAATGATTATCATGATGCTGCTGGTCACGGTCACACTGCTACCGATGCGTGAGTATCTCACTTGCTTATGATACAGACTCATACTGATACTTTACAGCTACGGTAACTCTCTTGTCCAGTTCGACCCAGCTGCTGAGCGACGACTACGATGGAAACTCGACTTGTACACTGTCCCAACCGTCGCAGTTCTGTATCTCTTCTGCTTCATCGATCGCGCCAACATCGGTGAGTCACTTCTCACTCTCAACACATCAACCTTCACTAACACACACCCTCAGGTAATGCCCGTATTGCTGGTTTGACAGAGGATCTCAACCTCGTAGGATACGACTACAACAAGATCCTCTCCGTCTTCTACATCTCATACATCATCTTCGAGATCCCCGCCACCGTCTGCTGTAAATGGATGGGCCCCGGCTGGTTCCTCCCTGCTACCTCTCTCGCCTTCGGCATCGTCAGTGTCGCTACCGCCTTCGTCCACAGCCAAGCCGCTATCTGCGGTGTTCGTTTCCTCCTTGGTATCTTCGAGGCTGGTATGCTTCCCGGAATCGCATACTATCTCTCCCGTTGGTATAAGCGCTCTGAGTTGACTTTCCGTCTGTCTCTCTACATGGTCATGGCTCCTCTTGCTGGTGCTTTCGGTGGTCTCTTGGCCAGTGCTATCCTCAAGCTCCCCCACTTCGGTAGCCTTCACCACTGGCGCATGATCTTCGCTATTGAGGGTATCATCACCATCGGTCTTAGCCTCCTCGCTTTCGTTACCCTCACAGATCGACCCGAGACTGCTCGATGGCTCACTCAGGAGGAGAAGGATCTCTGCATCGCCCGTGTCAAGTCCGAGCGTCTCGCCCAAACCGAAGTCATTGACGGTATCGATCGAGTCAAGCTCTGGCGCGGTATCTCCAACCCTGTCACTCTCCAGATCGCCTTTATCTTCCTCTTCAACAACATCACCGTCCAGGGTCTTGCTTTCTTCCTCCCTACCATCGTCGGAGCCATCTACCCCGAGTACAGCACCGTCCAGAAGCAGCTCCACAGTGTCCCCCCCTACGCCGTTGGAGCCGTCTTTGCTGTTGCCTTCCCTGCTCTCAGTTGGTACCTCGACAGGCGACAGATCTTCATCATCCTCTCCGCTCCCACCGTCATCATCGGATATGCTATGTTCTTGGCCTCTGAGACTCCCAGTGTTCGATATGGTGCTTGTTTCCTGATTGCCAGCACCTGCATGGTTCTGGGTACCATGACCAACGCCCATATCAGCGCCAACGTCGTCAGTGATACCGCACGAAGCAGTGCCATCGGCATGAACGTAAGTTTCTCTCCCATCAACCACATTAACCCTTCTCTGACACTTGACAGGTCATGTTTGGCAACATCGGTGGTCTCATCGCGACCTGGTCCTACCTCGTCAAGGACGCCCCCAACTTCCCCATCGGCAATGGCCTCAACTGTGCTACTGGTAGCATGATCTTCATCCTCAGCATTTCTGGCTACTTCTGGATGAAGTGGGACAACAACCGACGCGACAAGAAGAACGTCGAGCAGGAGCTTGCAGGCCTCTCACCTGAGGAGGTTGCCAACCTGGACTGGAAGCACCCCGGCCATAGGTGGCGATTCTAAGATGTGATATGGTTTTGGATATGAGCATGCTACGATTGGGTATTAGCGATGGGTCTTTTGAATGGATAAGGTACTTACCAGGTCATTTTGGATATTAGCGAGTCATCATTATCTTATCCCAAGAATGAACATGATTCTACAACTTGCATTTCTGATTTACGTTTCTCCTTAGGCACCTTATGTTGTCCTTGGATGGTGAGGTAAAGTACCTAAAGCACCCAAAAATGTGCCTTCCTCGAATCCTTTAAGACCTATGTGTTAGCCAGGGAAGGTATGGTGTATGTCTGGTTGCACCTCCCATCACCAGTCCTTCCCTGTTGACGAGGTGTCTACTACTCACTTTATTCTTCAACCTCCTGACTACTAAGACATTCGTCTTCCAACACCATCATCATCCCCGTCTTTGGTACATTTCTTTCATCGTCGTCATTCTCATCGCCAATACACTTCTTCAGTCTCCATCTCAGCAAAGTGACACAACTTGTTAGCTACAATGACTGGGAACGAAGTATACCACCTCCGCTTCCCTCGTCCATCTGTCCCGGCCCTCCCAGCCCCAGGAGGATAGGAGCCTTACAGCTCGTCTGACACTGGTGCAATTGACTTATACAATTTCTTGGTAATCGAATGGAAGGAGTGGGCTGAAAAAGACACGAACGAGGACAGAAATAACTGGGCACGCCTAGCCAAGTGCGTACAGACCTGGGGGGATAATGAGACTGGTCGCAAACAACATTTGGGCAACGAGGTTAGCAGAATTATTAGACAGAAGGCTTTCAACGAAGTATGCTGGGGATATATTGTCATCGCTACTCATCTTTACTCATGTTTGACGAAACTCAGACAGTTGAAGAGCAACCAAACACTGAGCGCATTGCAACGATGGTACCCAAAATCCAATATTTTCGGCGCTCGTTATAATAGAAATGGTCGCGCATTCAAACCATCTTTACACAAGAATCTACGCCGTATCCCACGCAAGGTACAGCAGGGCAATAACAACGGGAGCAATGGTCAACAGCAGCACAATACTCCTCAGCAGTATAATACTCAGCAGAGCAATACCCCTCAGGGAAACAATTAATCAGCACCTTGATACCGAACATCAGTCAGAGAATTATGGTTATTGGAGAATGAGCTAGTTGGCGAAAGAAGCTGCCTTTAGCTAGACTCAAAATCAAAACGTTGCTTGCCCGTCGTTCTCCTATAATGCAAAACAGTGAACTGAAAGCTCAAGTCAAGTAATTTTATCAACACCAAAAAGAGAATCTGCGTATCGCAGACGGCTGGATCTCTCCCGCCGGGAATTGAACCCGGGTCTCAAGCGTGACAAGCTTGCATACTGACCACTATACTACGGAAGAAGAGCAGGTTATCACCTGTTGTAGTGAGGGCTGTGGGAAAACCGTCGCGTATGGGATCCTATACATCAATGGTATCTTAACCAGAGCCTTTTATTACAGAATATGCTATGTGAGATCCTCGGGGAGGGGTGAGGAAAACAACGATCTCACAGACTACTGCGAAAATTCAAGGAATGATAGAAGGAAGATCGGCACCAAGTGCTGCGAGCTGAGGCAAATGAATATGGTTTTATGCAGGGTATTCTGGAGAACAATGTTTGCCTTGCTAAAAATACTCTTCACAGAATAGGGGCAAGGTTCGGACCGTTGCTTTAAGCGTTGGCACGCCGGATTAAAAACGAACTTTCCTTTGCAGTAGGATAACAAGAGGGCGATGATGGAGGCGAGACTGTGTATAACAGTGCTTGAAATTCCGAACGGAAAGAAGAAATAAAATCTCGATATTCGGCAGGGTTTGCACCGAGAAGCGAATTCTCGTTCATGAGTTGCCGGGTATCGTCTCGAAGCTCACGCCTCACTTGACGACCCCAGGCCATAAGTGGTGGTTTACCGACGGATGGTCCAGTAAGTGCATCGATATGGAATTGAAGGTTCTCGGGCCTAAGCTGCTCTACAAGCTTCGGCGACCGCATATCGAAACAGTACGCGTGTAGATAGACCAGCTGCAGGCCTAGTCTTCCTTCTATTCGGCTTTTAGGTGGGACGTCGAGAACGCCTGATATCAAACCATCGACAAGTAAGTGCAAAGGCGGGAGAGGGTTACCGTCATGTAGTGGACCTGATGAAAGAGGTTCGATGGACATATTGCAGTCCATGGCAGAGAGCAGAACTGTCCAGGTGGGTGGCGGGGGGCCTCTGGGGATCGGTGGTAGTTGTCCTGGGACAAGCTCGCGACGCTCTCCCACGGTGGTAGGATCGAGGCAGAGATACTGAATGGTATTTGAATGGACAAGGGGACAGCGCTCAAGGTCTGTCTCAATATCTGTCTTGACATCAATCCATCCATCGCGGCGCAGACTTCTGGCTGCGCCCTCAGGGTCGGACCAAAAGGAAAAGGTCGAAGACAGCCGTGCGAACGTTGAAATTGGCAATGAAATCTTCTAGCCACATTAAGGAGGCCACGCTATCTCTTCGTAAGTCCTCGCAAGGCCCATACCGGGTGGACATCAATATCGTGAGATCCACTGGAGAGGGAGCCGTCGGTATAAGGGGACTACACGATCCTACGACATCGAACTCCGCTACAGTGGCTGCTCAATAGTCATCATCTCCCGTAATATGGTAGTCAGTATGTAAGCTTATAATGCTTGAACCTAGGTTTAATTCCTGGCAGAAGAGATCTAGCTATCTGCATTATACAGACCCTCTTTTTAGTATTATTAGTACTTTATAATATCAGTCAGATCACTCCTGTTTGGCACTTAAACAAAACGGCCAGGAGAAAGTGTTAAGTTTCAGTTAGGGGTAACGGCTTTTATTCTTCATCGATAGCTAAAACCGAACTCTGTAACAATTTGAAGGGCATCCGTCACATCAAATCCCCTTCAAAGACCCTTAGTTGAGTTACTGGAGGGCTCATGTGTTTGCGGTCGTACAGGTGTCAAATCTCTGAAATCCCAGGAGTCGATGGAGGGTCCTTCTTCATTATACCTGCCAATGCCGATGATACGAGACCTTGGGTACCATCCCTGTAGTGCGCGTGCTGCGGGACTACTCTGTGGTTGTTTGATTCCAAAGATGTTCATGAGAATGACAAGGCCCTAAAATACTTTCTCATAGCGTTTTCGTTCACTCAACTCGGAACTCGCTCCTTGAGAGACGGTACGGAAAAATCAAGTCTTTCTGTTTTGAGAGTTGACGTAAAGCAGGGCTTCTCTCCACTTCTCTTCGTCCTCGTACGGGTCTTGGGAGGCCCAGGTCGTTCATTCGTTCACGAAGGTTTATACGCTCTGATCCCTTCATTATCTTCTCTAAGGCAAGGAGCCCATCCAACTGGACGGTCGAGGGGCCTGAGGAGCTCGACGGACGGCTGAGGTTGTGAATTTTCCACGTACGAGGAGTCCATTATTAATTACTGAACTAACAGGATGTGCCGGGCTGAGATACCTTAGATACTGGAGAAGCGTGTTGGAGATGAGAAAAACAGTGACGATGGAGGGATAACATAAGGTAGGTAAGTACCTGCAGGCCATATCTACCAGAGGAAATAGGATCTGCTGGTCGTGGCAGGCGCAACCAGAGGATTTGCTGGCGCGAATTCAGAAGCTGGCTATTGACCAAATATGCCTTAACTGTTTGCTCTTCTACATACCGGATGTAAAGGGCTACACAGAGTAAGAAAACTGAACCTTTCTTAACATTGCAAACTCTGGCTGGTGGTTTCGCTGCATACAATCCTGATACACCTAGACTTTGATGAATGAGATACTATTAGAACCTTCACAATGCGGTCAGCTCATCGAGACTGACGCCAGTAAGATCTCGGAGATCACAAATCTATCTCGATCTTCACGGAATATCTGGTAGCCTCAGGTTGAGCTGAGTCAAAAAAGGGGCAATGCAAGTGCCTACCGGAGGTAGTCGAGAGGCCAATAAAATCGTACCTACCTAGATAAGAGAACCAGCAAAATGGAAGGGATAGGAGTCCGGTAGTTAAGGCAGGAGGAAAGACAGAATTACAAACCTGCCACATCTCTCTTCTCCAAGAGATCAACTTCCTATCTCATCAATCAGAGTCATCCTCCAGGCAAGAATCACTCTCCATCGTGAGAAGTTACAGAAAGTGCAATCCCTACTGCGTTCGACAATAAAACGCATCCAGCTCTGTTCTCGTCTTCTCCATCTTCTTCCATCCTCTTCATCTTCTTCATCTTGTCTACCCGTCCCCAAAACACCAGTCGTCTTCCTCTTCCTGCTATTCCCTTCGCTCTTCAGATCATCCTTCAACTCTATCTTTCCAGCCCTGCTCCGCCATGTTTCTTATCCTCCCTTCATTGCCTTTATACCTACGTTCTGTCATCCCGTCTTATTGGCATCATCTCAGAAGACTGATTATACGCTGTTGCTTCATCGCCAAGCCTTAGCTCGGTTCGACATACACAGCTGTGTCTCATCACTGATGAATTTCCTATCCAAGGTACGAACTTCCTCAGTGAACCGGGTGGATCTTCAGTGAAGATACCGCTAATCTACTGAGCACGCGCCTTATTCTCTTTTGCGTGTGCGGTGGTGAACAAGTGTCATCCTTCTGAGACGTGATGCTTTGGGGAGAGGAAGTCGGGTACTTTTTTTTTCCCTTTTGGGTTTTCCTTGTCACCGCATCTACTTAGCCGACCCGTGACATACACGTGGGGCTAACAAAAGGAAAAATGGTTTTTTTAGGTTTCGATCCTCCGCCGCCGACTCTTTCACTTCTGACTCCTTCGCTGCCGACTACGATGACTTCAGAACTTCAGCTCAGGGAATGGGACCAGACACTTGTTGGAGAATGGTTCTTCTCAGAAGAAGTGGCAGCGAGAGCGGGAGCGATCGGTTGGTTTGGATCTTGGCGGTGGATAGAATGGTGCAATGGGGAACTGTACTCTAGAGTAGACTTCATTCAACACCCTGTTTGACTTCACCCACAACAGATAAGCGATCATCCATTTCAGTTTTTTTTGCTACATCTTATTCCATTGCCTTGACTTGCTTCGAAAGCCAAGTTGGATATTTTCATAGAAATGCATTCACTGCCACATGCCACTATTGTGTCGTAGATCTCCGCCTCCTTCTGTAACTAGGCCTTAGCTCCATCATGTTTCATCGCATCAAGTATTTCCATCTGCTACGAGCTACGGTGAGGAGGTAAAGTTTTCGGCCCAAAGTAACACAAACGCAAAAAATACATATAAACACATATCAGCAAGATAGCGTCCTTATTGTTCCTGGTGCCTAATACGAAGGTTCAGACTGAGAACCTAGATATTATGATGACCGTAAGACTTGCAGTGTCTGCCACGAGAAAGGCAGCCTCTCCATCTCAACCAGCTATTTCAGCCTCATCCGGGCCATCGGCGCCTTTGTGCTCACGTGTCGTATGATCCGTGACGTCGAGAGGATCTCACCTGCGCTTGACTCTTGCCGGACTATGTTCAGGGGTATCCAAGAGGGCGCTGCGGACGTGACAATACCTCGATCATCCGCAAAGTCAAGAGTTGCATCGCGGAGTCCTAGAATGTCCTGGACTCTGAATGGACATGATGGCATGGAGATGATGCATTTCACGGGGTCCATGAATTGGCGCTGCGACTCGCCTCGGACATTTTCAATTTGTATGTAACGGTCATCTATAATACCCTATGGGATAAGACTGATCTAATTCTCTAGTATCAGGACTCCGCAGAGATACAAAAACTAATGCAACTGAGATTCGAAACAATATGTCCCATTAACGGCAACGTGCCTCAGATTCTCCAAGAGCTCATCAAGCTGCAAACCCGACTATCCAAACAGCATCACAATTTTGGAGGATGGCGCAGAATGGGGACTCTAAAGCGCCAAAACTTATGTAAACTACTGTCACTATATAGTATGTAATAGGGTGTACTGCTTGCTACCTTCGGCATCTTGGGCGCTTTGCCACCCAGTGTAGTGATGAGGTACTTGGTTGCACTGATGGTATTAAGAAAGATCCAATGTAAACTGCTACGCCGTTGATAGGATTTATCAAGATACAAAAAGGTTCTTAAAATCGCGGCATTGTGAACTGATCTAGCCTTGAGCGGCAGAATTCGAGTTTCTATGTATAAAGAAGTTCGTATAGAGTCCCAGCAAATGATTCAGTTTTTATTGCACGAAAGGATCATCAAGTATTTAGCATCATCTAACCAAAAGACTTTCGATATATCGCATAATTGCTTTGCACCTTTCCGCCCCACGATAAATTTCCGTTCAACCTATGCTCCAAGAAACGTCATGCTTGCGTTACCAGTCAGAGACATCCCTTTGCGATAGCAGATCTCGACTGACGTACCTCGTCAACTGATCCCAAAGTGAGTTCTCTGTTATTGCCCTGAGTGACCTGACGCTTGTCGCAACCGCCATCATCGCACGCTTCAATCTCCCTCGGACTGCATGCAGAGGATCCTGGACGGGTCGCTCGAAGAGTACTGGGATTCTGCGAACGTGCCAGGACGCATGATCGGTGAGCTAGTCACACTCGTTGCTGGTCAAACTAATCCTCAGACCTTCAAGCATGGCATGCAACTGCTTCCTGGTGACCACATACCCAACCATGGCTATGAGTAGGGGTCTATACTTTTCTGGAAAGGAGGAGGGCAACTGTCATCTCACAACTCTATCCGTAGGAGTAAGATATTCTAATAGATACAAACAGGTAAAAAGAGCAACTACTGGAATCACGAACCTACCTCATCTCTTTTCACTAAGAGCTCTACTTACTTATCTTATCAACCAGCGCCAGTCCCCAGGCAAGAATCACTCTCCACTGGGAGAAAACAAACAGAAAATGCAATCATCATCTCAGAAGACTATACGCTGTTACTTCGTCGCCAAGCCTCAGCCCAGTTCGACATACACAGCTGCGTCTCATCACTGATGAAAGAACTTCCTTAGTAAACCGGGCGATCTTCAGTGAAGATACCGCTAATCTACTGAGCGCGCGCCTTACTTCTCTTATCCTTCTGAGAGGTGAAGCTTTGGGGAGGCAGCTCTTTATACTGCAGGTCTTATGGCCCTCATGATATCTAAGTTTTCAGTCTGAACCTTCATTTTAGGCAGCAGGAATAGTAAAGATGCTATATTGGCGAATATGTGTTTATATATACGTTCTTTGCGTTTGTGTTACTTTAAGCCAGAAACTCTGCTCTCATCACAATAGAAGCTTCGGAGAGATGGAGTCAGATAGTTTTCTTTTAACTTTGGTCGCCTTGCAGAAACTTCTATTCACTACCTATTCAGTGTATGATGAATAAAGCTGTGCAGTAGAAAGTTTCCGATATATATCTCCTTGGGCAGCGTCGTCGTAACAAACCCGCTACAGCAGGCTTTAGCCTGTTTCGTCTTCCGTAGTATAGTGGTCAGTATGCAAGCTTGTCACGCTTGAGACCCGGGTTCAATTCCCGGCGGGAGAGTCGCCTCACGAGAACTACTCGTGATATCAATTTTTGGTGTTTTGGCCTCTTTTTGCTTGCCATGTGTTGTGTCGTTGGGGTCTCGTAGGGTTCTGAATACATAAGGTTGCATGCCTTAGTAATTGACTCAAACCTTGAGTAAATCTTAATTAAATGGAAAGCATTAGACTCTGCAGTGTCAATTGTGGTCCAGTTTTTTAAATGTCAAGTCTAAAAGAATTCTCTCAGAATAGAGGTCAGACCCTTGCTATGCAATACCCGGCGCTTCGGGGCGTGCTAAATCCGGATCGGAAAGATGATGACGACGCATCAAGATCTTGACCATGCCAGATGGGGCCACCGATAAAGTCTCGTTCGGTCCGCAGTTTAAGTGAAGGGCTGATATTCAATCTATCTTTAATACTGTGGCTGCAGTCTCGAAGCTTTTCGTTTATTAGTCACAAAGAATAAATGCCGTATTTCCGTTTCATCACAAACTCCCCATCAATGCATTCATTCATTGTTGAGTTGTTTCAAAAACTTGATTTTACAGTTGGATTTAGCACGTCTTGGCCTCATTTCGCTGATGCTTGGCAAAGCCCATCATGATGATCAACAGCACACGACTTCTTTCCTGTGCGGGGCCTAGCGCAACCGACACAATGTCCACTCTCCAGTGTCCGCGTATTCCTAGTCGTTGTGAGAATTCGGTGTAAACATTGGCATTTCTCGGCGTAGGCGCATTATTACAAAGCCAAGATGTTTTGTGTCGTTACGTGCGACGAATACACACAGTTTTCTCGGATGCTGGTTGCCGTGCAGCTGACGTATATCTTGTCCAAAACGGATAGAGTCGAGTTTTAGGCGTTTAATTGAGGCTCTAATTTTGATGAGAGGAATGGAAATGACACTGAAGGCGTTGGGGGGAGATAAACTTTAACAGTCGATCAAATCCATAAAGTCAAGTATCGGATGATGATTTCAGATCTGATATGGATTTCATGAATATGGCACTCGTGTCTTACAATTGGATGTCACTGTCACACTTGCACTGATACATTTTCTTACACTCAATCAGCTATTCCCGCTCTAGGCAAGGAGGCGCGTGCCCCGCGCCCCCTGGAAACAGTCGCGGCGCCGCCCACCTGCCGGTCTTCCTTGCACATGCACTTGCACCTTGCACTTGCACTTGCGTCTTTCTTATTCTCTTCCCCTGCTCGGGTCGTTCCTTCCGCTGGGGATAAGGGAACCCACATCTTCCGTCATTCATTTCAAGGAAAGAGATCCTCATCATTGTCTCTTCTTTCCATTCCCTTATCTCTGTGCTTCCTCTTCTCGTCTCTCCTAATAACAAACATGTGTTGTTGACATTGTCTGTGATACTTCATACGTATTCCTCTCCTTATCACGACATTCTCTCCTTTTTCTCTTGGATCAAAAAGTATTGCTACTTCTTCTCCCTTACTTCTTTTTTTATCGAGAGTTCAACTTTGTGACGATCCGATCCGCCCACCTCCCGTTGCATGACATTCCTCCCTCTACAAATCAAGCGCATCGCCTCCGCATACGCTTCCTTCGACTGCCAACCTCTCCTCCGTCTTCCTTCATACCATCAGCATAATCCAACGGGACAGCAGCAAGCATGCGTTCAGTAAAGTCGCTGCTCCTCTGGGGCTTCGCTTCCTTCTCTTCAACAACCGCCGCTCTCGCATTTCCTCCACTATTCCACAAAACTCGAGAGGCTGAAGCTTCGTCGTCGATTGCCAAACGTGCAGATGAAAAGACACCAAAATACTTCGTCGAAGCCGGTCGAAACATCGAGCTTGGTCATTACGATAACCGTTATTTCCAATCGAAGGTCTCGTATGAAGAACACCGTCTCGTTCTCCGAGATCTGATTCGAAGCTATTTGTTCCATATGAACAGTTACGGCGTGGAAACATGGATTGCTCATGGAACCCTTCTTGGTTGGTGGTGGAACGGCCAGATCATGCCTTGGGACTATGATCTTGATGTTCAAGTGTCAAACAATACCCTTCAATGGATCGGCGACAACCTCAACCGTACCGAGCATAGTTGGAATTATACCGAAACTGCAACAGGGGAGTTCATCTCCAAGAAATACCTTCTAGATATCAACCCCCACCACGTTGATATCGACCGTTCTGACGGAAGGAATATTATTGATGGCCGTTGGATTGACATGCAGAATGGCATGTACGTTGATATTACTGGCCTCCGTGAGCGCGAGGCAGATCGCCCAGGTGTCTGGAGCTGCAAAAACAAGCATCGGTATAAGAGCCAGGACTTATGGCCTATGCGTATCACCGAGTTCGAGGGCGTCAAAGCTCGCGTTCCGTTCAACTTCAATAAGATCTTGGTTGACGAGTATGATACAAAGAGTTTGGTCACCGAGAGTTGGGCAGGGTATGTTGCCACCATAGCCGTTTCGCCATCATACCGTTGGCGGGGCGTCCCCTCAAACCTTCACTTGCTAACATAGGTTACAGACACCGTTGGGATCATGACAACAAGATTTGGATCAAGGAGACCGAAGAGGAAGCGAAGCAGCGACAGCTCGGCGCCGTTGATCGCCATTTGGCCGAGGCAGCCGCAAATCCGCAGGCTGAGGAGCCGCAGGAAGCCGCAGCGCCCTAAACGCTCACCGCTTATACTCATCCTTTTGAGTAACTCACTATTTCTGATTTACATTCGATCTCGCATATGAGCTGCGAATCAACGAAATGAGCCACGACCTAAATTTCACAAATCATACCTTTTCTCTTTACGATGGGTCATACAAAGGTAGCCAGGCCTTTGTTGCACATGAGGCGTTGGATCTATATTACGGCGTTGGAGGAGAGCGGATTTTAGCATATCGCTGGTCAGTGTGGCTTGCTATTGAGGCGTCGATGATAGAGATGATTGCTGTTTTCATCTCTGGGATCTTTGTTCGAGTTCATCAAACGGCCTGTAAACCTAGAAAGATATCCCTAGTTGCTTGCATGTTTGCTTCACACAAGCGGTTCAATGAAACTTTGCTTTGGGCGCACGAAAGTCTATACTCATGCTGAAATGTAAAACCATGATCTATGTAACAAGGGTATCAAGAAATTCCCACAACCCATCATGACTCCTTTATCCAGCTCTTCCACGAAACCGTCTTCTGCCGTTTCGATTCTTGCCAACCGCCAAACTTGCCCCCGTTTCCAAGATCAATCAAGGGTGCCATACTGGGTCGACCATGCGCACACTGAAAAGGAAATGCGCAACGTGACAGGCGAGAGATGAGCTCCTCACATTGCTTTACCGACAAAACATCGTTGAACATGATTGCACCTAGCACAAAGTCAGTGAAAGAGGAGCAAATAATAGGCAACAAACATACTTCGACAGGCTCTGGAGTGTAGCAATTCCAGAATACCCCTTGGACACCCGTTGAAACGTGATATCAAAGGTTTGTCAGGGGCAGTAGTTGATGGTCGCACAAGTGGAACACTACTGTCCACGCTTCGCCAAACTTCTGTTCGTAAAAGTTCAATGAGAAGTCGCGGTTCTAGTCGGCATCTCTCAATGATGCTTGGAGGGAGGCCTGTTACTAGGATTTTGTTTTGTGAGGAGACGGGTGTTTGGTATGTGATGCCCCAAGCAGCAAAGTATTCGTGATGTTGTTCTAGAAGAGACCATTCCTCCTTTGAGATTTCGAAGATTATGGGTCGGTCGAGAGGTTCTATGACGGGCGACGTTTGATTCACCAAGGAGTCGTGGGTGAAATAGTTTGCCATGAGATCTTCAAGCTGACATCGTTCATCAACTGCATGTTGATCGAGCATGACCAACGCAGAACTCTGTTTCTCGTGCGCCAAAGTCCCAGATGTCGAACTTTCTAGTGGTAACTTGACCAAGATGAATTTGCGGTCGACCTGTTCTATCACGGTAGCGTGAGCAAGCGCGTGACGTGAGATTCGCCCATTGAGGCTCATGGTCCCTGTTTCAAACCCAACATGACCGCTTCCATGTCCACACGCATGCAGCTGATCTTGTGCTGAGCTATCGATACACGGCACAGACGGTTCTACAGGTTGAAAAATGGGATTCTCCCATGATCTGATGACACCCTGGAGCCATTTGCTAGGATGTTTGTCTCGCTTCTGTGCACCTTGACAGGTAACACTGCTGCTTGTGTCACCGCCACCTGATGCGCCGTCAACAGTACATGCGCCCGAGATCACACCACTGTTTGCAGACGAGCCTGTCTTCTCGGCTTCCGGTTCAGGGGATGGCTCATCAAACGGTTTTCGCAACAGTTTCCCGCCTTCTCCAACAAGACGTCCCAGCGGTGACTCCTCTCGCATCTTTGTACGAACATCTGCCGCTTTCGAGGTGGCGCTGAGTGGCGTAGCTCTCCCAACTTTGATTCGGTGCCAACCCTCAAAGGGGCTGTCTGCTCGTGCTTCAAGTGAACCAGATCTGGAGATGGGAGTGACAGAGCTAGCTCTCGAGCTGTTCGATGATGAGGGCGGTTGCTTTTTAGGCTTTTTCGGCCGGCCCAACGTTCTTGCTGTCGAGAATAACGATTCCTCAGGGGTTAGGCGAACTTTTTGTGGACGAAAATGATGCTTTTTGAGAAATCCGTAACATGTTGCCTTCAAAAGATCAATGATCGCAGACAGCGTCCGGCCCTGACTGTCAAGTCGATCTGGGCTATCGAGCCCCTCTAACCCAGTAGCGGTGATTTTGAGATAGAACATGGGCCACCGTTCGATCCCCTTTCGACTTCTCAAATCTCTTCCCGTGACCTCATCAAGTTTCCGCGAGTCACCGTTTTGGTCTTCATCACTGTCAATCACACCAAAGCTAGAGTTTCCAAAGGTCTTGTTGATTTCTTCATAAAGAACATCAGTGCCAAATTCGTTGTTGATTGGCCTAATCCCAAGACTAATAAATTGAGAGCGCCGTGTCGCAACAGGATTCGTGGAGATAGCGCCTTTGACGGAAATCGACCCGCATGATGCTGATATGGGCACCCAGGAACCTGCATCGCCCGAGTTGGCAAGGCCAGCTTGTGTAAGAAGTCGAGAGGTTTTAGACATGATGTCTGCTTTTTCTGCTGGCCGGAACCATAACTCACGCTGGCTTGCTGCGTTCTTGAGTGAAACGGATACACCTAATGGCCAAGCAAGAAGCAGGCCTACGACAGCTCGAACCAACCTCGACCATTCTTTGTCAAGAGCAGACCTTTCAGCTAACGTGGCTCTCTGTTTGACCCTAACTGGCATATTGCCGAAGAGATCTCGAACCGTCGAACGAGTGCCATGATCAAAGTTGACAAGCCGTGATTCAGGGGGCGAAGGCAATTGTCTAGCCAGTATTCGAGAATTGTGAAACGAGATAGAATTGTGTGAAATATGCCTTTGGTGGTGAGATGTGATGGTCAGAAGGGAAAAGGTAGCAAGGGATGCTAGGAAATCGCCATGATTCCCATGAACAGAAGACCTTGAAGGGAACTTGGATGTATCTGAGAAGGCGTAAGTACAAATAGCTTCACGTAACCAATATCGTTTCACTCACGGTGGAGCTTCCCGAGGCCCCCGCCATCTTTAAATTCTTCGGGTGGAATTCCGGACCCGTTATCTTCAACGGTACAATTTCCCCTGCTGTAGTCGATCGAGACGTTGACCTTGGATGCGCCAGCGTCTAAAGAGTTTGTAATAAGACCGCAGACAACGCCGTTCAGAGAAGTGATATTCACCGATGATTTAATCTTGTCGACGACATCTTGAGGAAGTTGCCTGATGGCCATACTCTACAGCAGATCATGCTTGTTTGTGTAGAGTTGGTCTTTGGCTGTGATGTTGAAAGTTTCAAAGTTCAAGTTGGGAAATGACGTCGAAGCGAGCTGAAACTGAGGTGAGCTGCACCTAGCTAGGGGGCACCTGGTTTTAGGGCGATCTAATTAAGGCACAGTGGGTAACCGTCCCCGAATCCAGGGTCCGCCTGGTGGAGGTGGCGCCAAGAAAAGATGTGCCTTGAGCTTATAGCCAGCTCAGTCCAGACTCGAAGCCACGAGAGATTCAACGGGTACCTGCGGGAGAAATAAGGGATAAGGGGGACTTGACACGTTGGGAAGTGCCTACATTTGAGTCAGAGATAGGTCATGAACGAATAGAAAGGATCGTCGTCTTCTGGTCCGTGTAGTTTATGTAGTTGTCTCGTCATTCAATAGATCCATCACGTGATCTTGATCCCGACCTTCGTACCATCATGCTTCGCCGCTTTCAGCCTTTGTACTATTACATGCCATGCCACACACTTTGATCTGCTGACGACGTCTCTTCTAGCTTCATCCCTTAGTTTTCGCCTTTCATTGTTCTGTCTTCCATCCACCATTGACACATCATTTTCGTTTCTTTTCTACTCCGAGCGAGCCTCTCTTCTCTTTACTTTGTTCATTGCCTCCCCGCCTCCACCCGCTACCCAACGACGTTGTTCTGGTAGCTTCGACGTAACGTTTCGTTTCAATTCAACGGCTTCTTCTCAATTTGATGGCGACGACCGACGCGATACCTCCAGAGCATGGTGAGTGTTGAAGCATTGTTCATGTTTATGGAATTTACCATCACGCGATATCGCCACCTTGCGATAGCCTCACAATACAATGCCTGATGCTAACATTTCAGACCGTCAAGGTCAACGCAGGAGACCGTTTTCGACATGGGTTAAGAAACTCACCAACTTCAAATCATCCGATGGTGAACGCCAAAAGAGACACAAGAAACGCAGTCACAAGAAGAACAACCCTTACCCGGAATCTGGACAGGTCGGCAACGGTGTAACCAACGGAACGAGTGCATGCACTTTCACCACTACACAGACGGGTACAAGCAATACCAGTGTGGACCGATCCGCCCGGACATCTCGAGAAGATCAGGGACCGCCAACGATCGGGCGTGGAAGTGTGGCCGGTACGGTGTTGACAGATCATGAGGCCTCCCATTCCCTCATGGCACCCAGCCATAGGGCAAGTTCTGTCGCTGGAACGAGCCGTACCGTTGGTGGAGGAGTTGAATCTAGGAGGGGGGGAGACAGTACTTTTTCAAGTCCAGCACCATCTGTTAGGTCTTTGACGACGACCTTGACTACGATACAGTCAATGGCGCCTAACGGGCCTGGGCAAGCTCAGCATCATGCTTCACAGCACCATGGCAACACGCAGTCTATTCAATTCACCCAACCGTTCCCCACTACAGGGACGCCAGCATCGGCCATCCCGCCCCATTTGGCGCCAACTGGCAACCCAACGACTTACACGTCTGCAACCGCCAATAATTTACTTACAGATAACGCATCTATCCTGACTTTGGCGTCATCAAGTAAGCGACGACGAAGGCGTTCTCTCGATACCGATGCATCTGTGCGTGCTCTTGCACCTTCGTCACTTTGGGGTGGCAGTCGTGAAAGTTTACCACTTAGTGTTCTGAGTGCGAACATCGACCCGATGGGTATGCCTACTACTCCCGGTATTCACGGCAACCCTCGAATGGGAACAGAACGCACGAGCATTTACTCTGCAACAGGTGTTGGGCCTGCGATTTCTGGTGATCGAAACAGCTACTATGCCAAACAAGGGGACGCTGCAAGTGTTCGAAGTGGGTTGCTTGGCCATGGACGCGCTGAGAGCGTGAGCGGGAGCATTGGTGGTCTGAGCAGTCCTCTAATTACACCACGAGAGGTATTCAACGAGAAGAGCGAGAATGAGAAAGAAGATACCCCTGTGGCTTCTAGAACTAAGGAGGCATGAGCGTGTTGGTTTTTATTGCGAATGATTGATGCTTTGTTTTGCTTTATGGTATTGGGTTGGTTGGGTCTGGCGGGTTTGGCAGGAATGAGAGCGTATCTGGTGTTTTGCTTGATTTATATAGAATTCTGGTTCGGTACTTACTATACGCAGTCGAGGGAAAGTTGTCCCTTAATATACCATACATGATACCCTGACAATTGTTATGATGAGCGCCAAACGAGCGAGCTTTTGATTAGCTTTACGTGATAATTTAATGTTCTACAGTGATGGGTCGGGTGCCGTGGAGTAGCAGCCACTGTGGCGCTAGGCAAGCTCCTGTAGCTCCCCAGCTCAGCGTCCCACCATCGTCATCGCGCCGCGGCTCATCTTCTCCAATTCAAGACATTCCCGAATGCTTCAAGATGGCCATCTCAGTAAGGACCACCCTATTATCATGCGCACTTCGAGACTTATCATACTGACAATGAATTGCAGTGGAAGTCGTTTGACTTCTTCGACGTCGTCCAAATAAACATCGCCGACGACGAAACCCGACAGCTCTTCGAGGGCAACGAGATCTCGAGCGTTTGCGCAGGCTCCGATAGCCTTTTCCTTGGATCGTTCGATGGATATGTCAGCATAATAAACAAGTCATGGAAGATTGTCAAGCGCTTCCAGGCTTACGAGGCTGGGAGCATCACGCATATGCGCCAGGTCGAAGGAACAAGTCTTTTGTTGACAGTTGCGGTACGGCCTGTTGAAGCTTAGATAACGAATTGACGAACTGATGGCGTTGATAGGAGGATATGAGCAGTGAGCCTGTTCTTAAGGTGTGGGCGCTCGATAAGCTTGTTAAGAAGACCAACACACCGACATGTCTGAGCACGGTCATGATCAACAATAACCGACGGCAATTTCCCGTGAGTCTTGGTGGGAGTCTGATACGACATTGGAAACTGACTGATTGAAGATATCTGCGTTTGCGGCTACGGACGATCTTACACAAATCGCCGTAGGATTCACCAACGGCGCAGTTACCGTAATTCGAGGTGAATTGGTCCACGATCTTGGTACGAAGCAACGAATTGTTTTCGAATCAGAAGAGCCTATCACCGGTGTTGAGCTCGCATGGGATGCGGCACAAAAGCTCACCACTTTGTTTGTTTCCACGACCTCACGAATACTGAAGCTCGGTTTATCCAAAAAGGGCCATGGATTACCGCCCAAGACCATCGAAGATGCCGGATGCGCAGTGGGCTGCATGACGCGTGACCCAAATACAGACGGTGTCATTGTTGCGCGCGACGATGCTATCTACACATACACGTTAGACGGTCGAGGGCCACCCAAGGCGTATGAATCGCCAAAGAGCAAGATTGATGTTTACAATGAATATGTTGCGCTCGCGTGCCCGCCAGCAAGCAGCACTGCGAAAGATTCTGAGGCAATGAGGCGACGCTTTGGTAACACTACTACTAATTCTCTATTCAATGCGTCGTCTTTTGTGTTGCTGGATATGGATCTTCGAGTTATCGGTCATACAGAGACTTTGATGTCGCCTGTGGGACACTTTGTTGACATCTGGGGCGATTTCTTCACTGTTCTCCAAGATGGCAAGGTAAGTTCCGTCTGCCGATACGAGATCCCGTTTATTAACTTCGTCAGGTTTACCGGTATCATGAGAAAAGTTTGCAGCAACGACTAGAAATGCTGTATCAGAGGAACATGTTTCCTCTGGCTATCGAGCTGGCGCAAAAGTCTGGAATGGACAATGAGCAGCAAAGCCTTATTTACCGTCGATTCGGTGATCATCTATACCAAAAAGCCGACTATGACGGCGCCATGGTTCAGTATATTCGAGCAATTGATACGACTGAGCCATCACAGGTCATTCGCAAGGTGAGTAGCTCTCTGTATGAAGGAACAAGACTAATGTTTCTAGTACCTCGATACACAACGCATTCACAACCTAATCCAATATCTGGAACAACTCCACGAACATCGAAAAGCGACTGCGGACCACACAACCCTTCTCCTCAACTGTTATGCAAAGCTCAAAGACATCAACAAGCTTGAAAAGTTCATCAAGTCTCCTGGCGACCTCAAGTTTGATCTTGATACAGCAATTGCAATGTGTCGACAAGGCGGATACTACGAGCAGGCTGCATACCTTGCCAAGAAGCACGGCGAGACTGACCTTGTGGTGGATATCTTGATAGAGGACTCCAAGAACTATGTCGAAGCGCTCGACTATGTTTGGCGTCAGGATCCTGATATCGTAAGTTCTATCGCGTCCTGGATTGAACCATTGCTAATACGTTCAGGCATACCCTTGTCTACAGAAATACGCCCGAGTGCTCATTGAGAATTGTCCTCAAGATGCTACCAAGTTGTTCGTGGACTACTATACAGGAAATTACCGACCTCGGCGCACTATAACGGTGCATAACGAGATTGATACGCCCACCAGCGGCGGCTTTGCAGCTGGAGCAGCCAGCGCTGTTCAGAACTTGTCCAATCTGCTGCCTCTACCTTATATGAATACATCTTCGGTCGCATCTCCAGGAACAGTCGGAAACACAAGGGCTGTGGTTAGCGACGGAAACATTATTGTGGATAACGACGATATTCCTGCACCCAAGTATACCCCTCCTCCACCAAGAACCGCATTCTCATCGTTCATCGATCACCCCGACGAGTTTATCGTCTTCCTCGAAGCATGTCTCGAAGAAAAGGAGCTCAAGTCGAGCGATCGAACAGATCTTTACACTACCCTCTTTGAGATGTACTTGTACAAGGCAAGCGAAAAGAAAGGACAGGATCACAAGGAGGAATGGGAGGCCAAGGCGAAGAAGCTCATTCAGGGTGAGCACGTGCCAATGGAGAGCTCGAATGTTCTGCTTCTCTCGCATCTTGCGGATTTCCAAGATGGAACTATCCTTGTCAAGGAACAGGCAGGACTGCGTTTTGACATTTTTAGATCTTACACATCGGCTAAGGACACACGAGGCGCCATGAAGGCACTCAGAAAGTACGGTCCTGAGGAACCGCAGTTGTATCCAGCTGCCCTGGCATATCTCACTTCTGACCAAAGGGTACTAGAGGAAGCCGGCCCTGATGAGTTGGCCAACGTGCTAAACAAGATCGACAAAGATGGACTCATGGCTCCTTTGCAGGTTATCCAAACACTTGTAGGTCAATCTTCAGGCGGCGGTGTAGCTACCATGGGCATGATCAAACCATACCTTCACGAGACAATCACAAGAGAGCGCAAAGAAATTGCTACCAACCGCAACCGCATCAACAATCTTCGTGGCGATACAGAAAAGCGCCGCGAAGAGCTTGCAGACCTAGGCTCCAAACCAGCTGTTTTCCAAGCAACCTGGTGCTCAGACTGCAGCCAGCGCCTTGACCTTCCAGCCGTCCACTTCCTCTGCAAACACAGCTTCCACCAACGCTGCGTTCGAAGCGGCGGCAACGACGGTGATGCGGAATGTCCCAAATGCGCACCTGAAAACGACATGATCCGCAAGATGCGCGAGGGACAGAAGGAGCGGGCGGGCAAGCATGATCTTTTCAAGATGGACTTGGAGAACAGCGAGGATAGGTTCAGTACGCTTGCGGAGTGGTTCTCTGGAGGTGTTATGGATGGGCAGAGTGCTGAGTGAATGTTATGAAATGAGGTGATGGCGAGATGCATGGAGTCTGAAGGAGTTTTGGGTTCTTATTTGGTCTTTGCCTTGTTTTTATAAGGCTTTGACAATTATACAATCAAGATTTAGGCAGAATGGTCTTATTTGGTTCAATATTGTTGTGGACGCTCGTACGTTTGCTGGTGAGTTGGTGACAAAGAGCTTTCAAGATGCGTCGCTGCCTATCTTAGAAGAGCTTGGACAACTTTAGGATAAACTTAAGCAATCTTATGGTACGTTTAGAGGCCCTCCTGGTATGCCACATGACAAACTTGCTGATGATCCTGTCTTTAGAGGTTTACCCCTTTTCCAATCATTCTCTGTAGAAACACAAATATGCTCGGTGACATCAGAGTTCCTAACAATCTTGTGATATAGTTGCTCATCATTTCGAGTTCTGGCCTTGTTTAGTGTCTCCGAACTGGGCCCTTTGCTTATCCTTTGCCGAAAGTTGTTGCTAGAATCATTCGACATTATGCTTGGTGTTTGAAACAAGCTGACTTTACCCAACAAAAGCTCAGCATTTCTTTTTAGAATATCGAAATCACATGTTGCGTTTCATTTGGTGCTTCAGAAAAGCTAGTGGCTTTTGTGCTAAAAGGTATTGTTTGGTGAACCTCGCCGGGGTCCTCACAGTACAGATCGCTGCCCTATCAACGAGGTAAGATCCGACAAGTCATCGACGTGGCCTGGCTGTCTCAGAACTACGCAAGCCAATTAAGGACCGGAAGGAAGAGTGGAAGCCTGAAAACATCAGGAACCCTTCTGCAGGTTCTATATTCAACTATTTTCCGGTGGCAAAACAGAAGAAGCAGCAATCAGACGATGTTCCTAGCAAGCTGAAGGGAGATGATAGCAGTAACCAAAGACTAGAAGCGTATTGTCACTGCGAAACTTTCCCCCGAGTACCTCCACCTTCACTTTTGCTTCCTCGCCATATATATATAGACTGGCAAAGTAGAGAGGACATGGGACAACAGGGTTTCCACTGCAGCAGTCCCTAACTCTCGAGTCTCCCATTGACGCCGTTGATGAACCTCCTGCGTTCTCTCCAACTGAAGAGGTCCCCAAGTACGTCATACGTGAACCATGAGAATCTGCCCTCCGATCAAACCCCTTCTGTCAGGGACCTCTGCCCATGATGCATTACAAATATTTTAGGAGACTGCCCAACCCCTTCGCCACTTCTCCCCTGGCTTCGATTTCCCTCCCTTTAGAGATCTTAGGAGAGATCGGAGGTCACCTACAGGTGCAGGACCTCGAGAACTGCTCACTCGCTTGCAGAATTCTTAATAACAGCATGCGGACTCACCTGTTCAGAGCGATAGCATTTACCGGCCATAGAGAAGCAGTCACTAGATATTTGTTAGCCTAACTGTCCCAGGACTTGCCGAACACTCATTTTGCCGTGGAGAGGTGGACCTCAACACCTTGCAAAAACAGTACGGGACTGCACCCCAGGAGAGAAGCAGCACTATTCGCATTATGGGCGGTCGGTCCCGAATTATTGGTAGGCTAGACCAGGTCCTACCACAAGAATTCAATTCCGAACAACTTTACAGTCAAAGGGGAAAATCGTCAAGTACTGCGGCAGTCCGCTCAACCGATGTGCTCAGGCCATTCTTATATAGATGGCAGGCTCATCCAAAGAAGTTTTATTCACTGAAGCTCATCAAGCATCTCAAGTGGAGGAGTCCCGATGGCAATCGAACCTAGGTAGACTCCGTGGGATATGTCCACGAGTCATTTTTTCTCCGACAAACTGAACTCGCAGATTCGGCATTCATACCCAGCTTCTCCACGGGAGCAATTTCGGAAACCGCAATAACAGTCGACAAAGAGCACCATTCAAAGTCCCTCGCAAGACATCTGTCAAGGTTAGCGCATTGTACATGATTTTGATACACTTCCTACGAAACTGGATATGGTTCCATCTCTGGCATGAATATCAATTCTTGCATTTCATGACGCCGTGCCCAGATCGCCAGCATGATGATAAGTGAAATCCCGTGGAGTGCTCTTAAACCGTCTTGTGGATGATTAGGAGTAAATAAGACTCTTCTCCTAAAATTGTTATTGTTGATAGTGAGAGCAGTGTTGGCGATGCAAGCAACGAGCCAAATCTGAACAACTCGCTTTCTGGGGAATATGCGTTTCATGAGGTGATGGCTAATCTAAAACGCATTTCATCCTCTTCCAAGTCTGCGGTTGATCTTGGGAAACGAGCTACGTCTGACTAGCATTGGGCCACTCCATCAATGATGTTACCATCAATCTGGGTCATCGTGGCCTCGGCATGGGCAAGATTCCGGCTGGTCGTGGTCAAACTTCCCAAGGCCTGCGGTCCTGGCATCCTCTTGAACTAGTTTTCCAGTCCATATATCAACGTGCGACGTCCATTCTAGTTAACTCAGACAGCCAAGATTAGAACGTGGAGAAGGACTATCACCGATCTCGACGACTACTCATAAATATAAAGTCCCCGACAACTTCCCATCGGGCCATGCAGCGAGGTCATGGGAGACCAGCACCTCCCTCCGCCATTTACATATGGCTATCCCAGTCAGCCAGCTAATGTCGAGGAAATGGAGGCCCTTGTCGACTAGAATCCAGGCCGAGATGCACTGGACAACATCGACCATGTTCCACTGCAGAAGAATAGGAAGCCGCTTAGCCACCCACGCACGCAACTTGGACAAGTTGAATCCCAGCCACGATCTCGTACAGATCCTGTTGCGCCTCCTTGAATGGGACCACAACAAGCGAATCACCGCTTCTAAGCTAGCATCGTAACTAAGGTGATTAGGATAGCTCTCCTGCCCTGGCAATAGTGGCGATAGTGCCTCGTCCGGCCAAGACAGGGACGATGAGGCTACAGATGGCCAGGGTTTGGGATTGGTCTTAAGAGAGAGAGGCTTGGGAAGTCATGGTGTGCAATATGTCCGATGTGGAACCATTTCATTTTGAAGGCAACTTGAGTTTGCAAAACGGAAACTTTATCGGATCAGCGATTTCTGGAATATCAACAAACATCTTCACTTCTAAAGGAACCTTAGTACAACCATGCTGTCTACGTAGTCCTCAATAATGAGCGACACCCTCTTACTCACCCCGGTCAATCGCTGCCCCACGTCGCCGCACTGCTTGATCTCACAACTTACAACCTCCTCCCTCACATCACCACACAATGAGCACCAAAGACTCACCAAACCCCAAAATGCCTTTAATAGAAGCTCGATCACTCGTCGCATCATTCTCCCGAGCTCTCACATCCTTCCAATCATCTCAAGACTCACTCCGCATCCTCTGCACTCTACCCCACACTTCCAATGTCCCCGCGCCGCGCCGACCAACCCGCCCGCTACAGAATCTTGTGATTCTAGACTCAAGCTTCAATCCGCCAACGTTAGCGCACGCAAGCATGGCACGTTCTGTGTTGAGATTAGAAGGGGAGAAGAGGTTGATGTTGCTTCTTTCGGTGAATAATGCTGATAAGGCGCCGAAGCCGGCGAGTTTTCCTATCAGATTGAGTATGATGGAAGCGATGGGACGGGAGTTACTTGATGAGGGTGTAGAGATCGATGTTGCGGTTACGACGATGCCTTTCTTTCACGATAAGGCGAAAGCGATAGCGGAGTCAGGGTTTTATGCTACACAAGATGGAGATCAACCAACACAGACGTTCCTCGCGGGCTTTGACACGATAGTCCGCATTTTTAATCCAAAATACTACGGCGAAGGAATTCAAAACGCACTGGGACCATTCTTCGAGAAGTGCAAGGTGAGAGTTACGACAAGGCCGGATGAGACGTGGGGAGGAGTCGATGAGCAGAGAGCGTGGTTGACGAAGGAGAGGGTGAGGGATGTTGGAGGTGAAGAGGCTTGGGTTGAGAGGGTGGAGTTGGTTGAGGGAAGGGAAGGCGATGGCGATGTGAGCAGTTCGCAGGTGAGAGAAGTTGTGAAGAGTGGTGAGGGGAGTTTGGATGGGCTGGTTGGAGAGGAGGTGAGACGGTGGATCGAGAGGGAGGCTTTGTACAGAGATCGCGATGAGAGTTTGTAGTGCTGTGTCCGATTAGCCGCTGACGTTCGGCGATCTCATAACTTAAATTCGAAGTTTTATAGATGCACCAGGAAGCTCATGAGCATTTGCTGGAAATCGTATGCTCACATTATATTGTTGTTTCCTGGCCTGGGCGTTTCTCTGGAGCACAGGCACTGCAGGGTAGAGAGGACAAGCCAGAAGTCATTTCAGCAACACCTTGCTTTGCGACTCAACACCAGTTTATAAGATCCTGTCTCAAGTAGATGTTTTCATTTCCGTGACTGTTCCAAGATAAAGCTGTACTCGGTTCAAAATTTAGTAGATCAAGGAGAGACACCGCAAGAGAAGGATGTTCGCCTGTGCACAAGCAGGGAACAAGACGACGCACTCAACGCACAGCGACAATGAATGCGCCTGCGTGAGCAAGAACTTCACATTTTTACGATTTAGTGCATGCATATCTCGAGGCAGATGCTACACATCTAGACAGCACTACATAAGACCAAGTCCGAAATCCGTTCCAACCCAAGTCTCAAAGGCATCACAGAGTCAAGCATGGCCTCCCATCTCGGCGCAATGATTCATGCAGTCGCATTCTGCTTCCGCATTTGATATCAATTTCGGCGCAAACCTCTGAAGTGATCCACTTCAAAAAAAAATCGAAGCTCTCCCATCGTGCAGAAAAAAATCACTGCATCCACTCTTTCCTTGCTGTGATTCGCTGCGCAGCTCAGAGTCGTCTGCAGTGGATCACCGATCCACAATACTTCAACCAATCAGAATCTCCACGTCTCTCAAAGCCCTGCGGCTCAAAAAAAAGAATTCTGCCAGCAACTTTTAGGCGGTGAAGCCCAGGTGATCCCGCGCCCCACAGCCTCTCTATAAAAGCGCGCCTTCCCTCCAACCTTTTGGACTTTTTTCCTTCTTTTCTTCTTCATGTCGACAATACTTCAGAGAATCATTTCTATAGTATTCGACCTTCTCTTGGTTCCCTAAAAGAGCCACAGATCCCACCCTGGTTGATGAGTGCATATCCTCGACACCCTAGAGTGAATACCTTTGGTCCTCTCGATCTGTCCGCAAGGATGGCGGTCGCCTGCTTTACTGCGGGTGGCTGTATAGAGATGGTTGTATTTGATGATCTCGACCCTGATTGCGGTCTTGCCTTCGGGCGCGCGGTCGGGGTGGGTGTTGACGGACGTCTGACAGGCGTGTTTTCTACTTCTCTTTTTCGTTGCTTGCTGGGGCTTGCCCTGGGGGTGAGGAAGAAGCTGTGATGTATACGTGTGTTGCTGTGATAGCTGAAGCATATGCGCGATGGCTAGGGAACACTGTGCAACGCTGCCGTCACGTCGCGTTGATGCGCACAAGTCTTGCTTGAGTGCATGTCTATTCCCAAATGTCCTACCGATTAAATATTCCCCCAATAGACCTGTCCGAAATACGCCTCTGATCTCTGAGATAAACAAACCCACGCACTCCGTGGTTCCCATGTACCCACGACCTTCGCGCTCTATGTGCTCGCCGTCCGCCCAGTGTTCTCATCACTCATCGCATTCATTCGTTGATACTTCGTCGTTTCATGGCTTCCGCGCGTAAACATACCGCACCATCATGTATCCATGAACCCTCCGATTACCGATCACTTTTCGCATCGCCGCAAGAAACTGCGGGTATTCCTCCCTCGGCCAGTTCAGCACGTTATGCCAAAGATACAGCGTGTATCCTACGACGAGTCAGCAAGCGAACGAGAAAATGCGACGGCGTAGACATACCCTCGAGATCGTTTTCCAAAGTCAACCTGACGTACTCGCCCAGCTCAGAGAGCTTCCGATTATTGGTCCATCCTCCCACGGGTAGCTGCAGCCCAAACATCGTTAGCAGGTATCACCTCAAACAAATCCATCGTCGTACCTTGTAATCAAATATCCTGACATCCGTGAAGCCAGCCTCTGTGATACTTCTCTCCTGCAGCGCCTCCTGCTGAAGAAAAAACGTCCTCCCCGTTTCTGCGCCGCCTTTCTCGTACAGATCCGCCCACTTCTGGAGTGCAAGCTCGCTGTCTGTCGTTCCGTCATCGGAGTAGAAGTGTATGTCAGCCTCGCATGATTGGACCCAGCCACCGGGTGCACAGCAGCGATATGCTTCTTGAAAGAGGGCGGGCCAGTCTTGGACTGATCCAAACAGGTAGCGGATGTGGATGAAGTCAAAGTAGTTGTCTTTCCAAGGCCAAGTGAGAGTTGCATCTGCGATCTCAAAGTGAACGTTTGGAGGGACCCATTCGGGCTGCGTGGGTGAGAGGTCTGAGCCGATTACTTGCGCACTTGGATATGCATCTGCAAAGTCTCTGAAGACGTGTCAGTCAATTGAACAGAGACGTGGGAAGGGAAACTTGCATTGCCCATATTCCAGAACCAGTTCCGACATCGAGAACTCTCTGAACATGAGGCGGTATGGGCGCCAAGAAGAGGTTGTTATCTAGCAGCATGGTGAGGTAGTGATGAGAGATGTCAACCGATTGAAGCTGCTGCTCGTCATTCGGCATAACATATTCACTAGCATAGCGATCGCTGTGATATGTTCTTCCCTGAATAGTTCTGTACTCAAGAATGCTCGCCGTCACCGAGTCCGGGTACATAAAACTGGCACTGAGCGGGATATGTGAGTTGAGCGTAATAACAAGACATACGAGATATGGACTAAACTCACGCATCGGATCCAAGAGCTGAGTCAATTTCATAGCGGTCAATATCGGAAGTATCCTACAAACACGGCAAAAAAGACACAAGATGTTAATTCTCAATGATTATTACTCTACAAGTTTTGACGCTTTATGTAAGAGAGGGAGGTTAGGTAGGGCACAACGCACCTCAGGGTCCTCTGCGGGGATGAGCTCAGCCTGAGGAGCGGGGGAAGATGGAGCAGCGGGGGCTGCAGCAGGAGGAGAGTCAGTGAGGAAAGAGGGTGAAGAAGCGGCAGTGGCAGTGGGGGTGTCTCGAAGTTGTTGGTCTGTCATGATATATCGCGATCCATGGGATTACTTGATACAGTACTTTTATGTGAGTGATATGGGGGGTGGGTGTATGTGTGTTGTTGGTTGAAGGGATGTTTGCAAAGAGTGGAGATGTTTCTGGACAGGGTATATCATTAAAGAATACCGACAGATGATGAAAGAAAAGAGAAGGAAAGAAAGTGAGAAAAGGGAAGGGAAAATGAGTCTAGAGGTTAGAGCTAAAACTAAAGGTCGGTATAGCAAAAAGCAACCTTGATTGAAGAACAAGGCAAGGCCAAGGGAAAACGAAAGATCAGAGGCAAACACAACCCAACCGACCCCTCCTTCGTCTGCCTTCGATGGAACCCAAGGTAATCAAGACAGACTAGGCTAGAGCCTTGGGTTGTGAACCAAAAGTTACTTGTACTTTTGCTCTGTTTGCTGAGGTACAGTAGATCCCGTCGCTCCCGTAAGCGGTGTCTCAGTACCGTAAGCTACTAAGGTTCAGTGGGGGGCTGCTTTTAGTCTAGTGCCCTCTTGTCTCAACCTTGATCGTTACATCACATCAACCTCTGATCATCACTCGTGATAGCTTCAATGAAACTTTTCTATCCAATCAATTCAAGAGCGTCCAGCGCTCGTTCGTGGCGAAACCTAACAAAAACGCCTGATCCTACTTGTCCCCCAGTATCGCGAATGCTAACCCCGTACCAGCTAGATCTAGTATTTCTCGCCCAAACAACTCCTTTCATTACGTTCTCGTGAGCTGCTTCCACCATTCAAGGTAGATTGATTCTTCATCATATTCTTCTTGCATGGACTCGCACCAGCTGCGAACATCATCCTGCAAGTCAGTTCGAATCCCGTCCTCAGTAAAAGCTTCCAGCATCTGCCGACACCACTCGTCCACATCAACGTCGTACCAAGGCTGGACCTTATCACGATCAAAATACCCCAGTATGAACTCGATCTCATACCCATGGCATTTCTGCCAGAAAAACCTTCTATTCTCAGAGAAGTCGGTTTCACTGATCTTCTGTTTCGTCAGCTTAAGACGTCTGCATGCATCAGACCACACGAACCACATATACCATGGATTCCACTTAGTATCAATAGCGAACTCATGGACGCGCCCAGGTCCATTTCGAATAATTGTGCCGTTTATATCGTACAGTAAATCGTACTCGTTGGTGCAATAGGGCCGCACTGCCTCGCATAGCGTCACCCACGAGCGCTTGAACTGCGCCGGCCTTCCGCGCCTTGTCGCAGAAATTTGAGCTGTGATGATATACAGAGCCCCGAGTATACTCTTAAGCAGAGCCTCCTCAACCACGTCAACCATCTCGTACTCGACCATGATGTCGAGCTTCTGCCGGAAAATGTCAGCGACTTCTCCATGATACGATGCCTTCCAACGGGTCGCCGATGTGCTGTGCAAATCAGCATGAAGAGTTCCGATGAGTGTACCAATGGAACTAACGCCCACCCAGTCATCATCCCTTCCAGGCCTCTTTCCCTTACAGGTCTTCTTGAGACCTTCTGGACACTCGTCGTACACTGTCAGTAGGCTGACACCTCGACTGGCATACTCCTTCAAAATCAATTCCAGCAGACGAGGCGGGATGTGCGACTTGAGTGCCAGGTCTATCGGAGACTCCGTGAAATAAGTCTCCGTTATCGCACCGTCGACAAAAGGGTATGGGTGCGTGTCCGTCCAGTCAGACGCCGCATGGTAGAACGGGACCACGTCGGTGGCTAGCACGCTGTCGAGGGCGTTGGATCGAGTTGGGTTCGGAAAGCCATGGCTACTCAACAGCTCAATCATGTTGAGGTACATTTCAACTCCAGGTCTACCAATGTTAATTTGGAGTTGCTTCAGGAGTCGTGTGGGCATATGTCCAAGACCCATATCCAGTCGTTCGTAACGAAAACCGTTGAACGATTCACTTACCAAGTTCGCTTCCGCGTCAGCACCCTTCTCAAGGAGCCACTTAAGAGCTTCGTAGACACTTATCCGAATTCTGTTCTGCAGCTGTTCGCTTCGCCGACTATCTGGCCGCTCGTCCAAGTTGAGGAGTAGAGCATCAATTGGTCGATACTCCCTCCACGACTGTCTTACAGGCCAGGTTATTTCGACCGGTGCGGCGCCGTGTTCTTCACAAAGACGCATCATCGGCACGTAGGCCGACTCAACAGCCCGCCGAAACACTCTAAAGTCTTTAGCGCGGAATACATACGAACGGGCAATCCGGTGCATATGCGTGCAGGTCAGGGTCAGCCTACACAAAGTATCCACGTTGGTATCACCGCCTTTGTCGATTATGTCGACGATCAGAGCTTGAAGCTCTTCCGGCAGGCCGAGAAGAGTGTTGCGCGGGATGAGGCCAGAGCCAGAGCCCGAGGCGGAAGTAGGTGAGTTTTGTTGTGAGGGCATAACTGTGGTTGCACGAAATACTTTAGAGATGATGGTTTCTGAGAAGGAAGATGCTGTTCGGGTTTCTTGAAGTGATGACAATATGTAAGTGAGGTTTGATCTCTAGTTGATACTGCAAATGAGTGCCACTTTATACTCGTAAAGACGAACACTTGTTGACAAGGACATAGTGAGAAACTGGGACAATGAATGCTGTTCGCTACATCAACTGCAATATAGGATTGAATTGAGGAAGAAAGGATTGTTTGTCATTGAACAAGACAAGCGACTTTAATCAACAGGAAGCTTTCGTCTTGTCACACCTGAGTCTTACGGTTTATTTATTTGTTTCTTTGCATGATTGTTTGTTTGCTTTAATTTACACCGGCATGACATGTAAGAGGACAAAAGGCGTCTCGAGCCTCATGAAGCATGTGTATGAATGTGATCAATAAAATCAGTGCCGGCAGATTGACGACATCCAGCATAGAGATTCTGTTCAGTCTTGCACTCTCCGGAGCAGTTACTCTTCTCCATCTCAACTAACTGATCATCGTTAGTTCTTAATCAAGTACCTATAGTTCTAGGAACATATAAATCGGTCAGCTTCCAGTCGTTATTTGTTCTTCCGCTATATTATTGAGTAGCTGGACATACCAGGATCTGGTCTGAATAGCAGAAATGAATGGACGAAGAGCAAGCCGAGCATTAAGTGCTGACGGGTCGCTACTGAGGTGGCATTTTGTCACATAGTAAGAGAAAAGGACTATATGAGTTTTCATTCTTATTTTGTTACAATCTAACTCAAACTGACGCCCCAATTTCCCTAAACTACTTTAAACACCAAAATACAGACAACGTACACTTACGTGGCAAGGAGTAGGACTATCCTCAAAAGTCATGAGATAACGACGACCCCCCTTTGTAAGCTCCCAGCCAGTCAAGTTCCTCTCAGAAGAACGTTCCAAGCATCTAGAGGCATATTTACCCAGTCAGCTTCCGTGTTATCCTCGAACCTGGAGGGATCAAGCTTATGACGAATGTCTTTGATGATCCACGTTCGGGAATGGGCTATATCGTCAGGAGGATACCACCCTCTGGGGCGAAGGAACTCATGTCTACCTGAGCAAGGTGCTTTGTCACTCAAAACATCTCCAGCGGTTGTGATGTAACCCCCACAGATGTAGCTGATTGAAGTGCAAAGCTCACGCCAGCACCATGTGCCATCGCGATCAAAGTTGAGGCCTCCGTTCTCTCCGTGCCTTGCTTCCACCCCCCGCAGAGCCTTAGCGATATCTTCAAGGACTGATTGCTCATTGCCATTAATAAAGTCATGCTCCCACATCAATTTTACCTTGGCCTCAAAGGTATCGCCAAAGTAGCTGGGGCTCTCTCCTTTGAATATCCACGGCGAAAAAAAGTCGTCGAAAAGAAGACTGAGCAATTCGTCCCTGTGTTTCCCTTAAAAAGGTTGGGAGGTAGCTGCTGTTCAAGGATCGCTTTCTTCAGGTGGACCTCGAATAGAAATGGCGGGCAAGCTGATTGTAGCACCATCTCCATCGGAGAAGCCCAACTCGAGTGGAGAAGTGGTCGGTATTTCGAACGGTCTTCTTTCTCGCGAGCAATCCTCCGTGGAAAATCAGATGGCAACTCGAGTCCTATGTTGATAAGGAACTTGATCACCAAACAAATACCGCGATGGTAATCTGCATCTCTTGCCGTTGAAAGCCTGGTCAGCAGGGCTGGGGGTAGAACGGAGGAAGTTGCAGAACCCTCATCCCATCTGAACTGGCGCGCACTATACCCGTTCTTCAGCAACCACTCGGCTGCTTCGACGTACTTCTCACCTGAGAAGTAATCATCCAGATACCCTTGTAAAAGAACATCAAGTGGTGTATAGTATTGTTCTACGCCAGGCCCACCCACAGGTCCCCAGAGTTGACAGATAGGATCGTTTTTGTGTTTGAGACACGAGATCATGAGCTTTACATTGGCACGAGAGCACGCATGCTTGAAAAAGATCTCTCTCACCGTCGTAAACCTGCTTCAAGGTCATTTGAAAGAATCGAGATGACACGTGATGAATACTGAAATAATCTTTCCAGCTCATATCCTGATTGTCGATGATGAGGAAGAGAAGCTCATTGGGTAGCCCCAGCAGACTGGTCTGCTGGGGCTTGGTATTGGTTTCTGTAGTTGACGTTTTGTTTTTGTTGTTAAGGGAATTTGGTTGTTGAATTGACTGTAGCACCTCATGTCTTGGATGGTCTGTTTTATAGCCAATGGATCTTTAACTAGTGAGCCTATAGCTTTGGCTACGACAAAATGGCTTGTGTGCACACAAAGACAAAGAGTATCAAAGACTTTAGACATTGGTCACACATGGACTCATTGTGTCTTTCGACGTGAGGCAGTGAGAGGACCGGCTGTTCTGTTAAGGGACCTGTTCCAGTTGCAAGAGCCAAGCCCTTCTTAAATCTGACTTTGATTAATTTGACCAAGAGTTAGAACGACCATGAACTCAAGTGTTGTCTCTAATGTTCTCGTCTGTCTACAGTTTGTTGTTGGGACTGGAAAACGAAGAAAACGGGCACGTCACGTATGCTCCACTGATAGATATCAACCATAACAAGGACATTTCACAATTCGTCTAGTATTGCAGAGAAGTTTTCAAGGGACACAGTGAATGACTGAGACGTGTACCGAAAGTTCAAGGGCAGCCAGTCGCTTTACACATAGGGTTAAAGCAACTACTAACTTCTTGGTGATCTTGAAGGACTTGACCATGAGTTTTAAAGAGTAATCAGTGTGCTAGAAGTTCACTTGGTGCTACATCTGAAGTCCCGTGAAACGTTAAAGATTAGTAAGAAAAGCGATTTGTAACCCCTGAGGACATATCATCTAGCAACAATTTCGCCTTTCAACCCGCAGCAAGACTTGGATTTCATCTTCCTTCGGATTGATCGTCTTTTAGGAGATCTTTTGCTCCAGCGGACACTGTCCATCTGTATAGTTTGACCCTCCTAATTCCGCTGTTCATCCTTCCCATATCGTCCTTCGAGGCGTTCCATTCTCGACAATAGAGGCTTTCCATCCATAGCTGTGGTCTGTTGGTCTGTGGCGATTCATTCCAGTAATCTCATCCCTCACTGTTGCTGAGTATTTTCAGTCTGTCGATAGTGCACTACCTTCAACGATCGAACGGGCATACACCCATGGCGGAGGAGATACCTTTCTTCCTTGTTCGTCAGCCCCTCCCTTTGATCCTCGAGGTCTTTCTCCAGCTGTACACCAGTGATGGAGAACTCGACCATGGCCATTAGAAGGGGCCTGTAGTGTTGGGGGACCTGGCTCCAGGCGCCTTCGTCCAGATCGATCTCCAAGGTGACTTTGGGGTTTCGTAGCATGCTTGAACATCTGCGAATAATGTAATAGTCTCAGTACGGCTTCTGCAACCGGATAGTAACATGGAACGTGAGCCCAAGCTCATCAAACAGGACAGGACATACATGGCGAAGTCTGCGGAGATCTTCCCACTCAAGAGAATCATCTTCCGCTATGAGTAGAATGATTTCAGGGGGCAGTCGAGGCCGAAGGCTTTGGTTCGTGTTGCGTATCACCGACATGTTGCTACTTGGAGGTAAATGTGTGCAGGCTTGATGTCAATTTCTCAAAGATTTTGGCTTGGGTAAAGTCTCTGCAAGTTACTATTGCTTGAGATGGCAGTCCACAACTCTCAATTTATACTCATATCTCAGGCTCCTTAGTCCGTTTTCCGCTTCTGTAGAATTGCATGAAAGTACTTAGAAGCAGACTTATTGAACTTACCTGTGAACAAGGCCATTGGGCTCACAATATGGTCTCTGATCTGTAGGTATTCATAGAATAAATACAATCGGTTGCTGAGAACTTAGCATACCAAACACTCACTCACCAGCGCAACTCGGGGGGGTTCCGAAACAAGAACTTTCTTTTCAATTTTGACCGAGGCTGTTCTTTCAAAACTATGAACACATCATTGCTAGTTACTAGTTACTACTGCTATTGGCAGAGAATACCATGCAGGAGTTGCGTTCCACTCTACTCTAGGTGACCAGCTCCAAGCTTGTGGATGCTTTTCAGCCCCCTCGATAGACTCATATCAACTGTTCTTCATCACGGATTCTCCAGTAACTGTCGAAATTCAACCTCGGTACTTCAATTGGTCTTTGCTAAGTTTAAATAAGGAGGAGAAAAGAAACAAAGAGAAATGTGCACATGGCCACGATCGTTGCTATACCGTCTCTAACAATGCCATTGTACAACAAAGAAGTACTCGAATCACGCAATAGACAGCTTAGAGGTGGCATAAGCGTGAAAGGGGAATCAGTCAAATCTCAATAGATACCTACCCATGTCTCAAACGCTTCAGTCTATTGCCCCGTACATAAGAACCTCCTTTACAAAAGAACTTTGCAAGATAGAGTCCATTAGGACTCTTAAGCATGGTGATAACCCCCCCCCCC